CAATCAAACTAATTTTCATGAGGCTTTTACAATGACTGATGAGGGAAATGTTTTGCAATGTTCTATTGGTGGTACAACTGGACCACACCTCATCTTACCCATGCAGCATGGCAAACTCATCATTCAGTTTTGTTTTGCATTGAGCAGCTTAGAAATTGAGCAAACAATTTGCTAATACAATTTTGTGAAATCAGAATGTGACCTAATCACTTGCTATGTACCTCCTACCTTTTAACATTTTATGATTCACCCAGATCCTCCTGTATCCCAGAATTCTACAACTGTGCTCCATTTAAATAATATGCTTTCTCTTGCCAAAAGTGGACAAGTTTACATTTATCCACATTATACACCATCTGCCAATTCTTTGTCCATTTACTTATCTATATCTCTTTGCAGACTGCTCATGAACTCTTCACAACTTACTTTTCTATCTATTTTTGTATCATCAGTAAACTTAGCGACTGTACACTCAATCCCTTCATCCAGGTCATTGATATAGATTGTGAATATTTGAGAATGTCCATTCATTACATCTTGCCAAACTAAAAATGACACATTTATGTCAAGTATCTGTTTCCTTTCAACTAGTCAATCCTCTATCTATGCCAATTTTTTTCTCCCTATGCAACATTCTCCTATTTTATGGAATAAAGTTTTTTGACACACCTTGATACACGCTTCTGGAAATTCAAATACGCCAGATCCGTAAATCGACCTTTATCCAGGTTGTTTGTTCCCTCCTCAAAGAACACTAATGAATCAGTCAGTAATGATTTCCCTTTTCCAAAACCATGCTGTCTCTGCCTGATTGCATTGAGATTTTCTATGTGCCCTGTCATGGCCTCCTTAATAATCGATTCCACCATTTTCCCTCTGGAAGATGATAAGCTAACTGGTCTGTGGTTTCCTCCTGTTCTAAATAGTGGAGTTAAATTAGCTAGTTTCCAAGATGGGATCTTTCCAGAATTTAAAGAATATTGGAAAATTGAAACCAATGCATCCTCAATGTTAGCAGCCGCCACTGTTAAGATGCTAGGATAAAGGCCAACGGGACCTTTGAACCAGTCAGCTTTTCTTGATGATTGTAATTACTTTAAGTTCCTCCCTCCATTTCACTTCCTGATTCCAAAATTATTTCTGAAACATAATTTTTATCCTCTACACTGAAGAGATGCAAAGCATCTATTCAATTCATCTGCCATTTCCTTGTTTTCCACTATTAACTTGCTAGACTAATTGACTGAGGACAGACACTCACTTCACTTACTCTTTTCCTTTTTAAATGCCTGTAGAAACTTTTACTATCTATTTTAATAGTTCTAGATATATTTCTCTTATTGTCTCATTGTCGCTCCTCTACTACCTACTGCAGCAAAAATATTGCATTTGCACCAAGTAAAATTTGTTTTATTGAGTCACTTCTTCAAGATATAGGTATTTACCCAAATCAAAAGAAAAGGACAATCTCTGACCTTCTAAACTGAAAGTCTAATGCATAACTCTTTACTTCCTTTGCTCATAAAATACTCCCCCAATGTAAACAAATTTCCAGTCCCAGAACTATCTACAAGTTAATCATTAAATTCCTTCAAAAAGACAAAAACAAAAGACATACTTTTAGCTCAAATCCAACTATAAAATAAATGATCTTAAAATATATATAAATCACACACCTTACACCATAGTTTCCTTTTATACTTAGAAACATAGGAACTGAAGTAGGCCTTTCAGCCCCTCAAGCTTATTTCACCATTCAACAAGATCATAGCTGGTCTGTGGCCTAAATCTATGCCTGTCTTTGCCCCATATCCCTTGATACCTTTGTTTAACAAAAGTCTATCTCAAATTAAGAATTAACAACTAATCTAGCATCCACTGCTGTTTATTGAAGAGAGTTCCAAAAGAGTTAATATTGAGTTCAACACCTTCAGATTCTGAGCCCACTCCCACTCCTTCCCTTTCTTTTCGCTTTGCTTGTTACATTCTCTGTCACCATGTCCTCTCTCCTCTCCCCCAACTCCAGTGGGACTATTTCTTGTTTCCAGTTTGGCAGTTGTTCTGCCATTCTCACATTCTGATCACTTAATCTGTACTACCAGCACCCTTTCTCCCCCAGCACTCCATCCTGCCATCCCACTATTGCATAAATGCTGGCCCCTCCATCCTTCATGTCATCTCTGTTGAAGAGTCATCTTGACTCAATGTTAGCTTGCCCTCTCTTCATGGATGCTACCTGACCTGCTGTGATTTCCACCACTTTTTGTCTTCAGTCCATCTATCACCCTTTGTGTGTTGAAATGCCTCCTAATATATATCCTGAATGGTCTGGCCCTAATTCTCAGACCATGCCCCCTAGTTCTAGGATCCATTCTTGTAAAACATGTTGTTCTCCAAGGCTGATATGTCCTTCCTAAGGTGTGATGCTCACAGTACTCCATGTGGAGTCTTAACAGTGGTTTTGTATAGTTGCAACATAACTTCTGCATCCTTTCTTTCCAATACTGTAGATGTAAAGACACTGCATACCATTAGTTTTTTTTTATTACTTCCTGCACCTGTTCATGACATTTTAAAGATCTATGTGTCTGAACTTCCAAGTCTCTTTGGACATCGGCTGTATTTAACTTCATTACATCTAGAAAGTACCTGATCTATTGTTTTTAAGTCTAAGATGGATAACCTCACACTTGTTTCCATTGAACTCCAGCTGCCACAGTTTTTTCCATTCACTTAGTCTATCAATATCCCTGTGTAATTTTATGCTATCGTCTACACTGTCTGCAATGCCACTTAACTTTCTGTTATCAGCAAATTTGGATAGATGTCTTTCTATGCCATTATTGAAGTAATTAATAAATAATGTGAATAACTGATGCCCTAACACAAATCCTTCTAGGACACCACTGGTCACAGCCTATCAATTTGAGTACCTACCTATTATCCCTACTTTCTATCGCCTGCCACTCAACCAATTTCCCAGCCATGTCAGTAACTTGCTCTCAAATATGTGGGCTTCAATGCAAGTTAACAGTTTCTCATGTGGGATTTTATCACATCCCTTCTGGAATTTAACAACCTCCACAAACATTCCCTTATCCACTACCTTAGTCACCTCTTGAAAAATTTCAATAAGGTTTGTCAGGCATGACCTACCTGTCATGAATCTGTGCTGGCTCTCTCTGATTAACTGAGAAGTTTCAAGGTGTTCAGTTATCCCAACATTGATTACAGACTCCAACAATTTACTTACCACAGAAATTAGCCTAACAGGTCTGTAATTCCCTGGTTTTCCTCTTTTGTCCTTCTTAAAACGTGGAGTGACATGTTCAAGGGAGGCAACTCCTGTATCGAGGGAACTCTGAAAGATTATCGTTGGGGCGTCTACAATGTGCTCCACTGCTTCCTTTAACACTCTTGGATGGAAACCATTAGGTCCTGGGGATTTGTCATTCTTTAATTCCATTAATTTACTCATCACTGATGTTTTACTTACACTAATTTTATTCAGCTTTCTTGCCAAAATAGATAATGTCACATTTTCCAACATTATACTCCATTTCTCACCCCTTTGTCCACTCACATAACATATCTAAATCTCTTTGTAGCTTCCTTACGTCCTTTCACAACTCAGTTTCGTAACTTGCTTTGTGTCCTCAGTAACTTTAGCATCAATACCTTCTGTCTCTTCATCTAAGTTACTTTTAATAAGTTATAAACAGTTGAGGTGCTAGCACTAATCCCTGTGACAGAACACTTGTTACATATTGCCATTCTGAAAAAGATTAATTTGTACATACTCTTTGCTTTCTGTTAGCCATTAATGATCTTAAATTGCATAAATGACAGGACTAAAACTTCCGAATCTTTGTCAGCCGCAAACTTCAGTTTTGAACACGAGTAAAGCTCATTGGCATCTACTGACGAGCCTACACCCATGCCTCCAAGTTGCTGGTAATACATTCCAGTGGGCATACCCTGGTAGTTCATGTTGACTCATGAGCTAAATTAAGTGAGGCTATTATTGGTTTCATCTGGTGAAGCTAGGGAATGTTACCTTTCAAAATCCATGATTTAAAATGATGCAAGAGTCAGATGATCCTGGCTAGACCATAACGGCTCTCCGGGTGAACACCAGCAAGATCCATGAAACATAGAAGGATTTCTTAAATGGATTTGTGGCCAATCACTTTGAAAGAAATTGAGACAGGACTGTGTGCCATTCCATGGCAAACAATGAAACCTATTAAAATGCTCTTGCTTACGGTAGAAGTGCATGGCATAACATTGGATACGACCTTTAGCAAAAGAAACGAACATGAAGAAGAGGACAATGATAATGAACACACCTTAGAGTAATAAAGCATATACTTGTTTCCATGATTTCCTACGTTCCAAATTTAAACTTGCTACCAAAGGTAACCTGGCACATTTTTCAATCATAATGCCCTCAGTAACTGATTTAAAATGAATATTAAATGCTGTTACGATTGGAAAATCAAGGTCAATATATCTTCCCTCTCATACACAGGCCTTGTTTGTAAATTTTTTTGTAAAATTACACGTTAGTTGCTTTAATAGAAATAAAATAGCAACAAATTAGAACTTAAGATTCAAAAAGGAAAAGAAAATCCAGAAAACTCCACTGAGAATCTACGAAGAATTTCTGAAAACAAACAAGTATCACTGGTCAGGGCAACCCACAAAGATAAAAAGATGACCCAATCAACTCACTTATAAAATTTCTTCGGTTAAAACAAATCCCCCAAACATTTTCCCACTAATTGGCATTCCTGGGTCCAAAATAACGTTTTGAAACAAGGAAATAATTATATACTTCACAATTCAATTGCCAAATGAATCATCTTCTGTGTTTTGTTCAGTTTTACGACAACATCTACCATGTAGTCCAGAGGCAAGATAATTAACCATTTTGTTTAGTTGGTTGCATATAAATCAGAGGTTTGCATAATCTACAGAATAAATAAAATGTTGCTTACGCTTCCATCAAGGCTGCATAGACTCAGTGAATCTTCATCTCTTTTTCTCTGCTTCCGTTTCTTCTATGAAAGTAGAAGAAATCAAGTCAGTCTTACAAGACAAATAAGGAAAGGAAGAACCAATTATAATCAACATAGTGCCTTTCACGGCTTCAGTATATCCAAAGGCACTTCACAGCTAATAAAGCATCTTTAAAGTGTGATCACTGTGTTAAGACAGGAAAATGCAGCAGCCTATGCGAGCGCAGCAAAGTCCTAACAAATAATCATGAAGATAAATGATAGGCAGGGCACTGAGGGAATTTGTGCTCAACTGAGAGGGCAGCAGGATTTCCTAAAGACAGCATTTTCAATACTTGAATAGCAGTAAAGTGTCAGCTAATATTATTTGTTCAGGTCTATCAATGAGCCTAAGCCCAAAAACCTCAAACATCTTGGTTCAATGGTACCATTCAAAAACTTGGCTATTATACTTGCTTCCATGAATGACCACACTTCATATGTAATCGATGGTTGGGGAATGGTTAGTCATTGCAATAAGTGTACTTACTGCACTCTGCAACATTTCTAAAGAAAAGCGCATGTTAACAATGTTGATGTACATTTTCCTCAGTGCATAAAAGTTTAAAAAAAAATTAGGTAGCCACCTTTTAAGATGATGACAGTTTAAGAAAAGATTTTCATTCATTTTGTACACAATGAAAAATATACTCCTTATTCAAGTCTCTTGCATAAATATTGAAAACATTAGCTTGCAATTCAACTACTTAACATATTTAAATTCCTTTGTCTGCTCCTTTCATGGATGCATTAACCAGTTTAAATCAGTCAGTTTAAAAAAAGTAAGGCATACTCAGTGATAGGGTGCCCAACAAATCAATGCAAAACACTAAGCTGAAGCATTTCAGCTGAAAATATCAAGTAGATGATTCAGTTTGGTCTCCTCCTGTGGTCCCCAACATCACAGATATCAATCTTCAGCAAAACAGGAGTAAGATACTGCAGATGCTGGAAATCTGAAGTAAAAACAGAAAGCGGCTGAAGAAACTCAAGAGATCTGGCAGCATCCATGGATAAAGAAACAAAGTAACATATTGAGTTTTGTATGAATCTTTTTTGAAGAAGAGTCATGCTTAACTTGAAATGTTAACTCTGTTTCTTTCTGCACAGAAGCTGCCAGACCTGATGAGTTTCTCCAGCACATTCTGTTTTTATTTCAGTCTTCAGCAGTTTGATTCACTTCAGTGTCATGATTATACACAATATGGACTACTGTTCTTCAATTGCATTAGCAGACTTAATACCTCAGACTCTCATGAAGCAGCTTTAAAAAGGGACCAAAACACTGACTTAAAATGGCTGCAGAGATCTACATGGATTGGCCAAGTTTCATGAAGCTGATGTGAATTACAGCAAAGACAGTCTGAGCTGAAATTAACATTTTTCCCAAGGGCAACGAAAGTTAGAAAAAGCAGTTAGAAAGATCCCATAGAATAGATATCCTATTCTACTTATACTACTGTAACAATCTTCACATTTTGGGGATGGAACCTTTCCTGAAATTATTCAGCCTAAGAAACATAACTTCAGCTGACATGGTATACTCTGTACAGTTGGGCTACTACTTCATAGAGTTTTCTTTTGGCAGGGGAGAGAAGGTGGAACCCATGATAGAGAACTGTACACGGGCTAAGATGGGTGGCTCTCTAAAGAAGCAAAGTATCTGGTTTGACAGCACTGACTGGAAATGAGCCTAAGAGAACCAAGAACTTTAAAAGATAATTCTAACACCCAAAATTGTTGAAACCAACTGTGGTCACAGGTTAAAACCATATGTTAAAGGATGCCTAAAGGATTCTAAACTGTACATTGTTCTATTTCCCTTAACATTATATATGTGAAAGTGTACGGGTCCAAGTGACGTACAAAGGCCATATACTCAATGCTGCAGTTTTATTATTTTTCTTTGGTTTAGCAGGTGATACTTACAGTAAAAATAGCTATCAGCATTTTAATTAGAGAACGTTACAGCCTTGCGCTAAAAAGACTTTGTTGCAATCAATTGAAAGAACTATATGTATTTCATTTGAATTATAAACTGGAAAATTGAAGTTTGGACTGCTTTGTTGCAAAGAATAAGCCAAAGTTTTTTTAATAATTCAAAGGAAAATGGAAACTCTGTGGTGCTGTTTTGCTGAACCCAGACTTGGTACTTTCGTGATACAGAATGGCTCCAGGTGCCGATAAAAAAATACCGCCCATCAAAGCTTGTGGATTGGTTGAAGTACAATTTATCACAGAAATGAGAGGGAGCAATTGGAACTCAGACTTCCAAAACATATGCCAGCAATAAAAGTCACAATAAAAACTGAAAGAACTGCAGATGCTGTAAATCAGAAACAAAAACAGAAATTGTTGGAAAAACTCAGCAGGTCTGGACAGAAATCAGAGTTAATGTTTTAGGTCAAATGACCCTTCCTCAGAAAAATCACAATCCTTCTCTCTCTTTCTTTCTCTCCCTCTCTCTCTGTGAGTAGAAAAGATAAAAAAAACCTAAAAGACCCAGCCAAAAATAAAGAACTGCTGATTCAAGCCAAGATCTAGATCCAACTAACTGGCTACCAAATTGAGGATCACCGCAAACAGCAGTGTGATATCAGTGCCAAAAACAATATCGAAATGTGAGAAAGTCACCTTATTTTCTCTTCTGTTTTGGATTCTGATCCACAGACTTTTTGCCTATATTTTCCACCCACGATACTCCTAAAAAAAATTGCTTGTCTCATCCTTCTTGCTTATCCCATTAGTGTGTTTGAATTTAAAGGTATGGTTTAAGTTTGCATTTTTGTAATTAATCCTCTATTTTAATTAATCCTCTGTTTCTGCCACATATTGGATCTGTACGAATAAATAACTTTTTGTTGTATTGTTCATTGATGGAACCTGGAGTTTCTTTTATCATAAATAGTGCTCATAGTCAGGCATTAACCATCCTAGTGACGAAAATGGTCATATTTTGCAATTGTGATGACGCTGAGAATAGTGGGCTTGATTTAGAACACACCATTCCCATCACCGTCGTGACATCAATCAAAGGATCTGAAGAAAGGTGAGCCAGTTACTCTTTTTTTAACCATCTAATCATAACAAAATTTAATATCAAGAAACGATTGAATGCACTGAAAGCAGTAATAGAGACTGTGGATCCTGACAACATCCAAACAAAAATACTGCAGGCTTTTGCTCCAGAACAGGAAGCTCTGATAGCCAAGCTATAGTTCCAGCATAGCTAAATATTGGCATCAACATGACAATATGGAGAATTGCTAAGGAATATCCTGCCCATAAAATGCATGGCAAATCGAGTCTGGCAACTCATGCTGCATCAGTCTACTCTTATGCATTAGATGGTACGCATCATTGATATCCAGTGGCATTTACTTACAAATACCCTGTTTATCATTGCTTTGTTTGAGTACCAACAGAGGCACTTGGCTCCAGACTCATTGTAGCCTTGGTTCAACCATGAATGAAAGAGGTAAATTCTACAATTGAGGTAACAGTGATTGCTCTTGACATCAAGACAGCATTTCACCGAGACTGGCAACAAGCAGACATGGCAAAACTGATGTCAATGGGAATCAGGAGAAAAACGCTCCGTTATTTGGAGTTATACTTGGCATTAAAAAAGTGGTTGTGGTTGATGGAGTTCAATCATCTCAGCCCAAGTCACTGCTATAGGAGTTCCTCAATGTCCTGGACCCAATGAACTGCAGCTGCTTAATCAACGACTTCCCTCCATCATAAAGACAGAAATGGGGATATTCACTGATAATTGCACAAGTAACATTTGTAAATCCTCAGGAATTGAAAATTGTCTGTTTAAGTCTGGGCACAGAAGAAGTAAACAACATTCATGACACACAAGTGGCAAGTTGTAATCACCTCTAACAAGAACATTACCTTCTGAGGTTCAATGGTATTACCGTTGCTGAATCTGCCACCATCAACACATTTGGAATTAGCATTAATCAGAAATTGAACAGGACCATCCAAATAAATACTGTGGCTAAAAGAACAGGCCGGGGCTAATTCACCAGATGACTCCTCAAAGCTGGTCCACCACTTCCAGATGCAATTCAGGAGCCTGATGAAATACTCTCAACTAGCCTATACAAGTACATTTCCAACAGGCATCTGGGTTATTAAATAACCTTTGACAAGGTATCCTGCTTCCCACTGCTTTGGGAAAGCGGCCAACATAATCAAAGACCTCTCCCACCCTGGTATACTCTCTTCTACGGGGCAGAAGACATAAATGTTTGAAAATGCCGTACCAACAGATTTAAGAACAGCTTCTTCTCTGTTGTTATCAGGCTTACGAATGGATCTCTCATATATTAAGTTGATCTTTCTCTGTGCCTTCTCTGTAGCTGTACCATGGTATTCTACATTCCACATTCTGTTCTATTACCCTGATGTATTTATGTAAGATATGATTTGTCTGGTTAGCAAGCAAAACAATACTTTTCACTGTACCTTGATACATGTGACAATAATAAATCAAATCCATGACAACAGCATGGCAAAGGTTAGGGTTGAGGTTTTAAGGAATCAATAGAAAATTGGTTGAAATAACATGAAAAGCAAAGACTGCCATGTAAAGGATAATCATTCAGAATGGAGCAAGGTATAAAGTGGTGTTCTACAAGGATCAGTGTTGCAATTACTGTTACTCAAAATTTATGTTAATGATTTGGACTTAAGAACAGGTAAATCAATATCAAAATTTGCAAATGATACTAAACTTGATAATACTGGGGAACAACACATAACGCAAGAAACCTTGCAGACTTGTAATTGGACAGTAAATGGCAATTGGGCTTTAACAGAGATAAATGTGAAATGATGCACCTTAGTAGGAAGAGTGGAAACATCTTACAAATAAGAAACTGATTGGGATGTCAGAGAAAAGTATTTGAGGAATACTGGTGAACAATTAACAATGACATTGCAGATCAAGAAAGCATTTAAAATTTATTAACAAAGTATCAGGATTTATC